ACATTCCTTTTAATTTCAAATTTCTAAATTATTGTCAATTTTTATCTAAATTATTTGTTTAAATTTAAAAGATAAATGAGAATTTCAGTTTTAGCAATTCAATATTTTTTTTCTAATTTTTTTAATAAATTCGAACTTTTTTATGTTTATTGTTTAGATATTCATACTTAACTTTTTATTTAATAAATTTATATGTTTTTGGAAACGGCAAATATTATTAATAAAAATAAAAACTCCCGACTAGTAAGGTGCTATTTGTTTTTTGGAAAAAAACTCTTTAGACCTCTAGTTGCTACGCGACACAGCATACGCGCAACACTTTTCATCTCGCAGCACACGCGCAGCACTTTTCCTCTGCGCGTGCTCTTTTGGCGCAACACTTGTACTGCATCTTCCAACCTCTTCTTCTTCTTTTTTTTCGTGCTGGAATTTTGATTATATGTTGTTGAAATTTTATTTCACATTTTTATTCGTTTTTTTTTTGTTGATTTTTTTTTCATTTTTTTATATTCAATAATGATAATTTCTTGATGAAATATCATTACTTTTTACTAAAATATCTTTATTTTTGTTGAAATATCATTATTTTTTACTGAAATATCATTAATTCTTGTAGAAATGTTATACGTTATTAAATTTTACATATTAAAAAAAGTATTTTCGGTTTATAAAATTAGTTTATTTTAATTTTTTAATATCTGCAGCACTATGCAGATGTTAAAAAAACAAACACGTTTCTTATTACAGTATGTAGCCGTTTGATCCACCTCTTCTACTGCAGAGGGTTGTAGAGGTGGTCCGCAGACTTCATGAATTTTTGCTTCAGAAAATCAAACAACACCTAAGTAACTATCATGGGGAAAAAGACAAGCAACAGAAACAGAGTATGAAAGTTATCAAATACAAAAAGGCGATGATGACCACTCTACCCATGAACAGATACCACATTTACCCTTACATTTAACCCACATATATAGAATTGATTTGCTTTGCTCTACACCATACGAAGGACTAATGAACACCTGATTGAACATCTGATCGTTACGATATTTCCATAGATTCCAAACTAGACCATAGCAAATGATATGGAACCTAGCTTTCATTTTAGGGCTCCTCTCCCCATTTGCAGCAAATCTGAGTAGTTCGCCAATGCTATTGAATGACTGATTCTGTATACCGCACCAATTGAAGATTTTATCCCTCACACTTTTTGCAAACGGACACCTTACCAAAATATGATCAGCATCTTCTTCTTCGTTTATGCATGCACCACACATAGTAGTTTGAGTCTTGATACCTCTAGCTCTCAAGCCCGACATGGAAGCAATCCTCTGTTGAATTGCTCGCCACAAGAAGCAGTTAACCTTGATTGGGACTTCCTTGCTCCATTTGATTGTGGGAATATTCTGAGTTATTCCATATTGATCATCAACTTTCCACCTAATATCACTTACTTTGAAAGCTCCATCTTTATCCAAGGAGGACTCCCATGTGTCAGCTCCATTAACTAGCTGTACTGAAGCTTAGATCGTTCCGGAGGTTATTGAGCTTTGAAGTTAGACCTGCTTTGTGAGGACATGACCGCCAATGACCTGCAAAAAAACCTTCAAAAAATCTGTCAGCCACTGTACACTTTTTCCTAGAATCAAGAGCATAGAGAGAAGGATATTTGATTTTTAACGCCGTCGAACCAATCCATTTGTCTATCCAGAATAACGTGTTGACACCAGATTTAACCTTTAGTTTGAATATGTCATCGAGTTCAACCCCATTTGGTTTGTAGGTCCTTTTTGTCGCCACAATGGTGTTCCGTACCCCACTGATCTTTCTATTAGCTATATAATTATGAGGTTTATCATATATATTATGGATGTTTTTTATGACCCTACCCCATAGTACGTCTCCATTTACTTTCAAACGCCACCACCACTTAACAATTAGGCCGATGTTTAATGCCCTGATTGACCCCACACCCAACCCACCCTCTGATTTTGGAGTAATGATTTTATCCCATGAGACCCAGTGGATCTTGCTCTTCTGTTTCCCCCACAAATACTTTATTCGTATTTGTTCCAATGTCTCTGTGACAGCGACGAGTGCCATGAAAAGGGAAAATAAATAAGTGGGTAAATTTCCTAGCACCGAAGTGATCAGTGTCAATCTCCCACCAAATGACAAAGTCTTAGATTTCCAGGAGGACAATTTGGCTGAAAATTTATCAATAATCGGTTTCCAATTTTTTATAAGATTCATATTTGCTCCCACAAGTACCCCAAGATACGTAAAGGGAAAGGAACCCACTTCACAGCCAAGGATGTTGGCCCAATTCAAGGTTTCATTTGCTGATGCACCTATTCCAAATACTCTTGATTTGTGAAAATTTACCTTTAATCCAGACGCAGCGTGAAAACACCTTAATATCCGAGCCAAGTTTTTGAGATTGGATCTAGACCACTCACCCACAAACAATGCATCGTCAGCGTAAAACATATGGGTGAGAATGGGCCCATTATTGGGTAATTGAACACCGTTAAAGATCCCTTTATCTCTAGCCTCCATCAAAGTCGCGTTGAGTCCTTCCATTGCTATGATGAAGAGGAACGGGGAAAGAGGATCACCTTGACGAACACCTTTTGAGATCTCGAACTCATCAGTCGGAGAACCATTGATGATAACCGAGGCGCGAGAAGAATGTAAGCATCCACGAAACCAAATCCTCCATTTATTCCCAAAACCCATTTGTTCGAGAATAGAATCAAGATAACCCCAGTTTATTGAGTCAAATGCTTTTTCAAAGTCCACCTTGAAAAGTAGAATTTTCTTTTTCGCTCTCTTAGCCCATGAGTATAACTCATTGATCACCAACAGACCATCAAGAATGTTCCTACCTTCAACATATGCAGACTAGACGTCACCAATGACCTTGCCTATGACCTTTTTGAGGCGTGTAGCTAAGATCTTCGAGATAATTTTGTATATACAACCAATGAGGCTAATAGGACGAAAGTCGGATAGAGAGGAAGGGTCTTTTACCTTGGGTACAAGTGATATGAATGACGAATTGCACCCCCTGGCAATGGTTCCAAATTTGTCGAAGTGAAAAACAAAGTTCATCACATCACACTTCAGAGTATCCCAGTACATTTTGATGAATTTAAACGTGAATCCATCAGGTCCAGGTGCTTTCTCACCACCACACGCCCATACTGCAGCTTTCACTTCTTCAAGACTAAATGGTGCTTCTAACTTAATTGCATCCATCATGGAGATTGATTTCAGGAACGAGCTAGTGAACTTGGGCCTTGAAACGTGAGTCTCGGTGAATTTATTTTTGAAGAATCGCAGAGCTTCACCTTTTGATTTCGGCCACAGAAGTAGTCCATCTGCCGTTTACCATCAGCCTATTGATCTTGTTCCTTCTACTTTTTCCATTTATATATCCGTGAAAGAAATTAGTGTTTTCATCTCCCTCCACAGCCCATTTGACTCGAAATTTCTGTTTCAGCTCTAGTATCGCTATTTTTTCTAATTCTAGGATTCTTTGAAGTCCTTGACTGCGTGTCGCGAGCTCAGTCTCAGTTAGTTGTCTAGAATCCGCCAACCTTTCGAGTTGTGCAACATCATCTTTGATTCGTAGTATTTATTGATTTTCTATCTTATCTGATTGCTTCTTCCATTTTTTATCTCCCCTTTCAGATACCTGAGTTTGGCAGCCAAATACGAGTCTGGACTACCATACCCTACAAAACTTTCCCACGCCATATGAACTGTATTATCAAATCCAGCCTTCAGAATCCATGAGTTGAATAGTTTAAATGGAGGTGGTCCAAAGTCAGTGTCTTGGGATATCAAGGTTATCGGGCTGTGATCTGACAGTTCACGGGTATGTGCAGTAGCCACAATTGATGGAAAGGCATTAAGAAAGTTTGCACATGCGAGGAACCTGTCTAATTTACTAAGTTTTGCACCTACTCTAGCCATAAATGTGAATTTCTCGCCACCCATGCTAAAGTCTCTAAGCTCCGCGTCTAGAATGAATTTGTTGAAGGCGGATGCACTCGCCGGGCAAAATATAGAGTTGAATCTTTCATCTCTCCTCCTAACTGCATTGAAGTCACCAAATAAAACCCAATTGCCTGGTTTTGATCTTTTAATTGAGTTCAGATTCCTCCATAAGATTTTTTGATCACCAATGTCATGTGGCCCATAAATATTAGCAAGAATCGTATCTCCATTGATGCCAATCCAAGTTCCAACGATAATGATAAACTGATTAGATTTTATTACTTCTTTTTTCTGAAAACAGTTAATGTTCCATATTGAGACTAACCCTCCAGATCTCCCGTCTGAGTCAACACCTTCATAATCATAATCTTAATCTCCCCAACAAGCAGCTATGTCTAAGTTTTCATGATGAGACAATTGTGTTTCTTGAAGCCCCTGTGAAATTAGGTTTGTGGAAATTTCATAGCTTCCTTACCCAATTCACTTTTACATCCACCCCAATGACTCTTACATTCAGGGACAAGCAATTCATTGGATACGTTGTTGCTCACCGGTAACTCCAAGCGTTTCCGCAAGAATTCCATTGCTCACATCAATTTGGAATCCGATTGCAGCCCCAATCTCTACTGTTTGCTCGATTTCGTTTGAGTGGGAGTCCGATGTACTAGTTTCAGGTATATCTGTTTGGTTTCAAATTGGTTGAATTCATGTTCAAGTTTAAGTCAAGGCTAGTTGATGTGCGATTGTCTAGATTTAACCGAAACCCATCAGTGGTTTCAGCGTTTGTTTGTGTGTGGCCTAAATTAAAATGGAACGAAGGGGTTTGATTTGTGCATAAGCGCACATTATCCCACTTACATTTTTTAGGTTTAGGACTACCACCATCTGAATCACGATCAAATGTGCATTCATTTTTTTTCCTGCTGAGAAATAAACGAGAATATAGGAGTGCCATTATTTGTTGGGAATGGCCCAAAACACCCAAGGGGGACCAAATTTTCAATTGGCCCAAGGATAGGATTTTTCTTAGGCCCAAAAGATGAATTAGGGTCCATAAAGGAAACGAAGGGAGCTTTAGTTGATTGTGATGCAGGGGCTGTGGAATCGGGGATTTCAATCGACTCCAATACTTTGGGAGGGGCGACGACATTAACTGTAGGATCGATAGTTGCGCCCAACGGTTCATCAGCGTGAGTGTCACTTACCGGCGCGGACTTCGTTTTGCCGGAATTGATCTGAGCTTCTGTAGTTGGTTCCGTTGCCATGAACACCTGAGTTTGATCAGGTCGGAATTCGCCTTCTTCCGGTTCGTTTTCTTCTCCGTCTATCGATGTTTCTGAAATCCCTTCATAATCTTCTTCCTCATCTTCGGATTCCTCTACTTTATCAAAGGGGGCGGGTTTGAATGGTGACCAATCATCCGTGTATTCCACCACACCTACTCTGTATTTCGTGTTACTGACTTCAATTATAACTTCTTCATTAATCCATGTTCTTCTTGTTGTTAGGATCCCAACCTTCCCCATGGAATAGTCCCTTCTACTTGAGATTGAATCAAATGTGTTTATAACCTTACCGAACCTGCTTGCAATAAGTGAGAAATTATCTTCATCCCAAAATTCCAAGGGAACCCCAAGAATCTTCAGCCAAGCAGTTCTTTCATATCGAACATTATGGTGATCAGCTCTCCCCAACCATTTGAACCAATCTTTCCATCGACTTTCATCTTCTAGGAATTCATTTGCACTTTTGGAGCACTTAAAGTCAATAGCAATTCTTAAACCCCCTAGATATTTGGTTTCTTCCGATATTATTCCCAGGGCATGGAGTGTACCCATATGGTCAAGACTGTGAGCTTCACCAATTAGGATAGATTTTTTCTTAGCCATCCACACATACTAGTGTTAGAGTTAAGTGTGATACAGGGGGTATAGTTACTCTTTTGCTGATTTTTTTGTCCAGCCACGACCTGAGCAAATGTACTGTTATTTCTAATACCTGATTTGAGAAGAGAGATTTCATTCATGTGTGGATTCCTCCAAGTTCTAGAGATTCGTTGGTGTTGGTTGACCTTTTCCTTTCTCTGATGCTTGGATATGTTAACCTCTAGTACCATTTCTTTGCATTTGATACCTTGTAATCTTGTCTCCAATACCTTGGCGTCGTCTACCCCCATGAATCTAATGAATGCGTAGTTCTTCTTCCAATAATCTTTCTTCCACCCAAAATACACATTGACCACTTTTCCAAATCTTGAGAAGGGTCTCCGCAACTCCTCTTTTTTTGTGTAATCTGGAAATCCCGCTACAAAATAGTTTGTGAGGGCATTGGATTGTTCTGTTCTGACATTTGCTTTCCTCCGGCGGATCTCCGTCTACTCGCCGGTGGGTCGGTGACCATCCATCTCCCACGCAGTGTGTTTTCTTTAATAATTTATATGTTCTATATGGATCTCACGACTAATAATAATAATAACTAATAACGATTAGAAAAACCATTTTATCTGGAAAGGCATGGAAACTTCTCATATGTTATTGATAAAAGCTAAACTAAAAAATGACGTTTTGATAAGTTATTTATGAAAGCTAAACTAATAAAACGACCGTTATTGATGAAAGCTAAATTGAAAAAATAACGATATCAAATAATTTTGTCAAAAAAATGTCAGAAAAATTCCAATGAGTTTATGAGAATACTAAAAAAAGAAGGATTCATAAACAATATTGTTTTCCATATTCTATAATTTTTATTTTATAGAATTATATAATATAATATTTTAAAATATAAAATGTTATGTATGAAGAAAAATTACTATATACATAATAAAAGAAAATGATATTAATTAGTTTGGTCGCAAAGTGGTGGGAAATTTCCCATGAGTTTTCAAGAAAACTTATTTTACAGAAAACGATATTAGTTAGTTTGGTAGGAAAAGGATCGGAAATCTCCAACAATTCCAAGAAAACTTAATTAAACTTAAGGCGATATTAATTAGTTTAGTCGGGAATTTCTAATGGATTACCGAAGGTTTTACTTTTTGTCTGTAAAGTATCGCTAAATGAGGATTTTATTTTGTGTTAGTATTAGTATTGTTTTGGAAATTTGTACGTTTTTCCGACGGATTTTTCTTGTAGGAGGTTTTTGTAGGAAATTTGACCCCTCTCTAGTGCTGTAATTAGCAACCAAACCCAAGATGGATTTCTTATCATACGAAATTCGAATCGTCGTTCAAAAATCCAAATCATCTCATGATTCTATATTAATTACATAATCCACACACCTCCTAATTCTTTCTTATAAATGATTACAAAGAGATTGTTTCCTATTCATTAACCGGCTTCTAGCCTGACGATATCCGGTATTGTCCTCACTTTTTGAGGTTGAGGGTTCAAGTGTCTCAGTGAACATAAATGAAATTAAAGAGTAGAGTAGATTTGTCGTTTAAAAAAAATATAAAATTAGTTTTTATTGTAACCTAGTTTAGTATAAATGTCTTCTTGATAAAGTGTCAAATTTTCAGACATGTAAAGTATTGGATTTTGATCATGGTGAACAAATATTAAAATGGTGCTATTATATGTCAAATTTTCATTATATTACATCCATCCACTTAGATAGAGGGTGGTACAACAAACAATCGAGGGAGAGAGGTACGTATAAAATTAGTCATATTACAAATGAATAAAAATGATTATAAGAGATCTTTATTATTTTCAAACATATTAAAAATATTTTTAATTTTGATAATTTTTATGGCAATGTATTGTGTGTATGTATGAAACGTATCTATATGTATGAGTGTTGTAGATATGTATGGAATATGTAATAAGCGGGTATGGTGATATCTATGTATATGTGAAACGTATACACATGTATGAATGAATATATCTATGTATAGCCATATGGGATATGTGTTATGTATGTACAGGAGTATGGGGTATGGGATATGAGATACTTTGGTATATGGAACGTTATTAGGGTATTAGGGTAGGGGTGGGTGCTTAGATATGGAAAGGAATGTTTGGGAATGGAGAAGGAAGCTTAAAACCGATGAAAGGGGGAAAAGCACAAAAAGATTGGATTGTTAAAAAGGAAAAGAAACATAGCTTGGCTGGACCCCACTTGCTTTCACACGTCAGAGTCCTTTTAACATCACGTGGCAAAAGCTGGACCCACCCTGTCTCACTGCAATCCCTTGACCTTGATTATGACCATCTTCTACGTACATTTCTCCTCCTAAATAGGTTTGATTTTGTATGATATTTGGGTTTGGTTTGATATATATGCATGATTTAAATATTTTGATTTAATATATAGTTTATATTTTATTAAAAAAATTATGTGTACGAAATTGATTTAAAAAATATTTATAATTTATGAAAAAGATGAATAGAAGGAGAGTCTAAGTTGAAGATGGCTAAAAACACCAAAACACCTCTCATTTTAGAGTTTCTGATAACAAATCATGCTACACGAAGTATTCACGATTGGTGTTGAAATTTTTTTGAAAATAAACGTTTATTAAATACTTCAGGAAAGAAATTTGTACTTTACTCGATATATAATTGAATAAAAACTTAACTATAACCAAAATCACAAATATCTTTTTGTGGATATATAGGTATGCAAATTTGGATAAGCATATTTCCAACAAAACAAGGTATTATTAAGGTCAAAATCAAGGAAAAAAAAACAAAAGGATGTCTTGTAGTTTAATTCAAAAGAGACCATTTAATAATTAGCGTAATAAATGTCTTCATCTATTAGAAACACTTAACATGTGTTTATAAATTTGTACTAATTAATATTTTTGGAACAACAATTTCTAACATACATTCGAACCAATTGGGATTTGGGAATTTTGATCTATACGAAGCACCTTTTCCACGTGAATCATACACATATTGGGTTTTTCAACCTGCAAGTGTAACAAACTAATTACTAGAACATGCTATAAGCAACCAAATGCAGGGGTTCCTGCTGCTCATTCGTCCTTCCTTAGACGGTTCAATAGTTGGTTGGTCACAAATCACAATGCTGGCCAACCTATAGGCTACGTGCACAGACTTGGGACAGTTAGAATGTGAGCTGAAAGTTCCACACATTCGTATTTGGGGTTGCTTTTTTTGTTATCTCCCCAAGGTCTTATGCCTTAATTTGATGATTGCATTGCCATGGTGTCAAAGAGAGTCAACACAAACAAGCCTTAGTTAAATGATTGCACATTTGGTGATATATATATATATATATATATATATATATATATATATATATATATATATATATATATATATATATATATATATAATTCAACTCAAACAAGGCTATTTTTTTTTTTTTTTTTTGAAACGAAGAATATATTATATATATGAAAAGAACCCAAACAGTAGCAAACAACTACGAATGGAAGAAACCACAAAGAACCGTAAATAGTAAATTACAAAAGCCTCTAATAATTAGAGATTATAGATGAAAAGGAGAGCAACTTCATTCGCCCCAACTTCCCAGCCTATTATTACCCTGTACTTGTATCATTCGAAAGATTGACTTATGATGGAATCCGCGGTTCTAATTGGGTTAACACTAATCTTTTTGAAAATTTTATCATTATTTGCAACCTAAATATTCCAAATGATAGAGTAGAGGATTATACAAAGAGTATTTGTCTTCCTAGGACAATTCCATCATTAGTTACAACCCGCATCTCGGGTTAGTCAATTATATATATATATTATATATATATATATATATATATATATATATATATATATATATCATGGTTGTAAAAATCGGTCTAAGCGGCTAATTAATCGGCGGTTAGGCGCTTGGCGGCCTCCAACCGCCTACGAATAAGGGTTAGAGGGTAAAATAATCGGCCTTGGTCAATATCGGTCAAAACCGGTCCAATTCAGTCCAAATCGGACTAAATCGGACCCAAAACCGGGCTCAAAGGACCTACCGGCTCAAAGGAGACAGTTGGCCCAATACATAGTGCATCTGAATTTCAATGAAGCCTTAGACCCTTTTTATAGAAATGTTTTCCCATTATAGTTTACCCCACCAACGATGTGGGATACTCAATTGAAAAAACACAGGAATACACAAAGATAAATTCATTCTTCCTTCTTCTCTATTTTATGTTTCATATGTACAGAGGGTGTTTGGGATTCTCGGTATACAACTCGATCATGTGCGTTCTTCAATCTCGACTCCGATTGGAAGATGATAATCAACAGAGATTAGTTCTTCAATGGAGTTTCTTTCAAGCTTGCTCAAGTCTTCAATCTTCGGAGATGGTGACGACAAAGCCGGTGTTGAAGTCTCGACTGAAGAGGCTTTTCATTCGGCAAATCTGTAGCGTTCTGAAGAACAAATTTGGAGAAGACAAACAGACCCAGTGAAGTCAAAGATGGAGAATTCGAACCAGGCTCTGTTTGTTTGGCTAAAATAGTTCAGAATTCGAAGAAGACAAACACCTCCTTTCTCTACACCTCAATCCGCCAATCCTCCACCATGACCACCAACTTCAGCTCGAAGCTTGTTCTGGGCGTGCGAAGATGAACGTACACACTGAAAAGCTTGTTCTTGGGATCAAATTGGGCGTTCAGTACAGGTGATTCTTCTACTCTTCATTCTTTCTTCAAATTAATCTCATCGATTTACTAACCGGGTATTTTGGAGTCGAACTATTGTTCATGAAACCTATGATTTAATCTATTAATCATCATTTATGATGGAAGATGATTGAAACAAGTTGCTTAGTCAATGCTAATTTTGATCTTGTTCTTCGATTATTTACTAATTTATCATTGTTTCTAGAATACGAATATGAAATCTATAGATTAGGATGATGTTTCAGTTGATGTGTCCATTATATCTGAATCATTTGCTTCTGTTGCTAATGTCATTGACAAAAATATCCAATTTCATGTAATTTACATTAAAGAACTAAATAAAAAAATCAACCAATTAGGGAAAAGTAGTAATCGAAGTCCCAAATGCCAAAAGATAGAATTTACTCCAGTTATATCTAATTTTGGATCTTGTTTGATTGCAGTTTACAGGGAGGATCTGTGCTAAATCTGTTTTGGAATGTCTTGGTTCATTTAGAAGCACTGGAGGATCCGAATTGAGAATATGATGGATGATTTTTTATTAAATCTTAATTCCATACCA